CAGGAGAAGGTTTGGAGGTGGTTATCTATCAGCAGCCACCTGGGTCAGGGCAGCTTTCGCAGGTGGACTTCTGTCAGGAGGGGTCCTTACAGCTCCCTGGCACCCCTGAATGACACCAAGAACTTCTGCCTCCAGAGCCCTGTGTGCATCACTGGAGCGAGCACAGGCCCCAGCTTCATCTGAACTGGCCGGTTCCCTCCTGAAGTCTCCCCTTTGATTTTCCATCTGCATGTGGATGAGCAGTGATGGGTGATTTAGGGCAAATCTCACCCCTTTGCCCATTTGCACAGGTTTTGCTCCCATTCACTGGCTGCACTCGGGCCAGAAACCTTGGTTGGGGCTGCACTTCCCTGCTGTACTTGGCAAAGTATCGAAGAGCTCCTTATGGTGATGGCAGCAATGACAGCGCAAATTTTCAGTCAATCCTTTTTACTCTGTTGAAATAAATTTTGACAGCTAAAAGTCTCACAAAGTGAATAATTGACCTGAAAAAATTGCTTTCCTCTCTATCTCATGAGGATTTTTGACACTGTCTTTACTGAGAGCCATATCAGCTTCTGCTTCTTCCCTTATCAGCTTCTGTTTCTTCCTGGCTTATTTGTAAGCTAGCCCAGCAAGTGAAATGTGTGTGCTCTATTTGTATTAAACTGAAAGTGTTATTCTCGTCTCTCAGCTCAGTATTCTTAAGATGCCTTATGACTCCATACAGTGAAAAAATGTACCCTTAGAACAAGGTTTCCATCTCTTATTTGAACTCTTATTTTAAGAGACTCTCACCAAATATAACCCATTTCAGCAAGGGGAACAAACACAAATCTTCTAGCTGGTTTGCAGCTATTTTTGAGTGGACTGGGCTATTTAGATTATAGGTAAACATATGGGAGACATGAAAAGTATTTCTAGAGCAGGAAAATCTGAGAGGATCTGTGGCGAGGTGTGTCAAGAGGGCAGGCTATGAAGCATCTTCTCACAGTACTCTGCGCCTGGTAGTTGTAGCAGTATCCCTTGGACCTTTCATTAGGCTCTGCAATCATCAGCCCACCACTGAATTCCTTCAAGTTCTGTGATCCTCCAAGTTCAAGTTCTGTGATCCTCCAAACTGTGCACCAGCTCCATGAGGATGGCTCATGTCTGTCTCTAAGCAGGGCTTTTTGAAGACTTGTCTAGGGGAAGCTCGTGGGCAGGCGTGGTGAGCCTGTGACAGGCTATGTGTACGTGGTTAACAGCACTATGGTAAACGGAGCTTAAAGGAATGCAGGTGCTTTGCCCTCCAGCCCGTTGCTTTGCAGAGAAAACAGGCTTCAAAAAGCTGTTATGGACCATTCACATTCATCTCCTTGGCAGCTGGCTAGTTACTAGGGCCTCTGTGGGACATGAGCCATCTTAACCAGTAGCTCTGCTGTTTCAGCGCTGCTGCTTCTACCACTGTTACCGCAAGCACCTTCTTGCAATGCTGAGCAAGAGCGCAATGCCTGCATTGCCTGCAGCGGTGTTAGATTAGGCTAGAGCATGAGAAAGGAAACGCAAGTAACCGTCAGCATAACAGTGAAAATCACTACAGAGAGAGGATTTTCAAAGCACAAAGAGAAGCAGACTGAAAAAGAAGAAAAGCATGCCTTGCCCCTATGTTATTTAAGATACAGTAATCCCACAGTAACAGGGGCAGTATTTTTCTGTGAAACTAAGACTTTTAGGTTGATGGTCTTTCTTTCAGTGTTCATTTTGATGTATTGTCTCATGCAAAAATCCTGACGAAAACATAATAAATCCTGCTATATCAGTATGCAAATATATGCTAGGTAAGGGACTTGTAATAGGTTCCTCTGAGACATATATCAGAGATATAACAGAGTTCTGTTTTTCGCTATCAGAAAGATCGTGACAGCTGAGGGCCTCCAGGAAGACATTTGCTACAGAATCCTGTCTTTCCATATTAAAAAATAATCATCTTTTGTAAATGAAAGTGATAGTTGTTAGCTGTTTTTTTGTAAGTCTAATCACTCTACATCAAAGGAACCTCTCAATAAAACAAGAAAACGTGCTCATCTACTTCAGTTTCATATATCAGCCAAACATGCTTGCAGAGACTATGCAACAAATCCTGCTCCCCTGGGCAGAGCTACAGGTGACCAGTGCAATACAGGGAGATCACTATGACCATAAAAACCTGGAAGAAGAGAACAGGGTGAGATCTACAAACACATTGCCTCGTGGGAAGCTCCATCACAGAAAGGGCAGCTTTCCCGACTGTAAAACCACTGATGGGCTATGGTGCAGAAATGACTGTCGCTCAGGCTTGTTAGGCTGTTTACTTCCATAGTCGATTTTTGTGTGGTCCCTCAAAATGTGGGGTGAGAGTAAATGAAAGAAAGCGTCACTCAGTCGAGTTTCAGGTGCAATCTGAAAGGAGGAGAGAGCCAAACCTCCCAAGAAGTGCAGTGGGAGGGCTGGAGTGCCAGGCTGAGGGCTGTATGCAGTCAAAGTGTTGCTCTGGGTTGGATGTACAAATTGACAAGATGTCGCCCTACACTGATCCCTAAGCTGCAGTTTCATTTGACGATAGCATCATGGTGATAAAGGACAAAATGCCACAATTTGGTACCAACACAACTGTGAAGAGGAGGCAGAGCATTTCTGCCTCTAATCAGGCTGGTGAGCAGATCTGGGGTAACTAGAAAAAGCTGCTGGTTTTGCTGGTCCTTGCTTGGCTCGCTACAGAGAATACAGCCACTGGTGTTTTCATTAAATTTGACATGAACATATTTGTGGCATTGTTCTCCATGTTTGTGAATCTTCTGGTCTGGGGGGGGGTTGTGCTGCCGTTCGGCACTGAGGCCTTCCCGGGCTACTGGACAGCAGCAAGGGGTCCTGCGGTCCCTGGGGAGTCTCCTCCTCCTGAGGGGCAGGCACTGGCTTGGGTTTGCTTTGTACTTCGTTACTTCTCTTGGGATTCTCTTTGTTTTCTTATGAGGAGAAATACAGCTAGGAAAACAATAAATGATGGCCTGTTTGCCCTACCCGGGGGAGAGGAAGATGTGTAAGAACAGAGTATCTTCTAATGCAAATATTGCATGGGGTTTGTCATGGCACAGAGACAGGGAGGTCTCCGCGTCTGAATGCAATCCTGCTCTTTAACTCAGACTCAGGAACACAAAACAGAACAAGTGAAAAACACCACAAACACCCTACATTTGCAGCTGGGCTTTCTATCTGGTCTTGCTGAAGCAGTGCAAGTTCTGATGTTCGTTACTGTTTGGAGGACGTGAGAAGAGCCCTGGTAGAAAGACAAGGGCACCACGGGTTAGGCTGAGGCAGACTCCGTACATGCAGTTTGCCACCACAGCCTGTAATTTGTCTGCATTCCTTTCCCTTGATTTCCAGCACAAATATAAATCTGAACAGTACACAGCATTTCAAAATTTCCAGGGAAAGAAAAGATCTTGATAACAGGCTTTTTTTTTTTTTTTTTTTAAACAGTGCTGTATTATACAGGCTCAAGCTGTGTAAATATACTACCATATCAAAAATGTTTTAAAGCTTTCAGTAGAGTGATGTGCCTCAAGGGTGAAAACATGTTAGAGGAAGCCCAAGTGAGGTGGGACTCCTACTAACACCACAAGAAAATGCATCCAAAGAAGCTGCATATGGAATCATCGTCTACCCAGATAAGGTTTATCTATACTGGCAACTTCATATGAAGACAGCTAGTATGATATTAAGTATGCGACCTTGCTGGAATTAGGCAGACAGACATCTTTTAAAATATGTGAGCTGGTTCTCCATAACAACGTGATTTCAAAGTAGATTTGTTTCTTACTGTGGAGGGAGCCTGCCTTCCTTAAAAGTACACTACCTGGTTGATCTAAGATACCTACTTGGTCCAACTGTAATTAATTGAAATCAATTGACAGTGATTTCCCAGAGGACAGAATCACATTTATCAGGAAGTTAGTTGCTGTGCTTCTGCCCAACAGAACTCCCAAAGGAGAACCTCCCACGCAGCGTGTTGCTCAGGAAGAATTTGCAATGGATATCAAATGCTGTAGTTTGAATTGTGACACGCTCTTTGCCAAATGAAATAACATTTTGTATTCAAACAGTTATACAGAGAACCAAGAACATAAACCCTCAAATGCTGCCAGAGTTTTTAATTCAGTGTCTCATTGCAACATTGCTTCACAATTTGCTTGGAAGGAGGGAGGCCAAGGGGTGCCTCTGAGCAGCACATACCTGCACGATTTCCAGCATCTCTGACTTACTGATGTAGCCGTTCCCGTCGAGGTCATACATGCTGAATGCCCACTTCAGCTTTTGCTCCAGTTTACCTCTTGACGTTACACTCAAGGCTATGATGAATTCTCTGAAATCTATTGTTCCATCTCCATTGGCGTCAAAAGTGCGGAATACATGTTCCGCAAACTTAGAAGCGTCCCCATAAGGGAAAAAGTTCCCATATATTTTTTTAAACTCCTCCATAGATAAATGTCCGCTTGGACAGTCTCTCAAGAAGCCTTTGTACCACTCCTGGATCTCATGTTCTGTAAAGTCTGTACTTTCTAGTAAATCTTGCATGACTTCAGGGCGTAGTTTGCTGTTTTGCTTTCCCATATTGGTGTCAAAATATTAACTGCAGAGGAAAAACAAACACATGTGAATTATTATTATTATTACTATTACTATTACTATCACTATCACTATTACTATCACTATTACTATTACTATTACTATTACTATTACTATTACTATTACTATTACTATTACATAATAACTATTAACTTGGAGGCTGTAGAAGGACAGTGTGCTGGATTTTGAGTTTTCTGATGATAGTTCACTCCTGGGCATCAACTGAAACTTTGGGCAGTGTGCACTACTACAAGTATACTCTGAAAAAATTAACAAGCCTAATCTGCATGTTGATTACATTGTCTTTTCACAGTCTCGAGAACTGTAACTATCCTGAATTTATTGCCATCCTACTTTGCCTTTGAAATCATGAGGCAAGCAATGGATGTTGCAAGGTGTAGCTGACCGGTAGCTGTGTGTTGCAGCACACCCTCCATCCCGGCCACCCAACTGTCCCAAGGACCTGACCTGAATGCGGTACATTTTTTTGTACCTCTGGTGGAAACCAAGTTGCTACACAGGGCTGTGTTCAAAAATGGGATCAAGGTGCATCTGCAGTGTACACTGAAACCAGGAGCTCCAAAGCCTTTCCAGATATATCTTTATAGCCAGAATCAAACAAAGCAACCCAGAAGTTGCCTCTCTTGTTTGGCATGGACCAATTCCCATTTTAGTTCAGAATGCAGATAAAATCTGAAAAGATTTTATCAATGGTGGATTCCCCCACCCCAAAATATTACTGTGTTTTTTAATTCTCCTTGTAGCCAGAAATCGGATCTATTACTAAGTAATCATAATCTGGGTGGTCACAGCTCTTTGAAAAAAACCTCTTTTAAAAAAAAAGGAGGAGAAAAAAAAAGCACCCAGACAACAAAATTGGAAATTTGTTTCCCTTAAATTAACCATTAAGAAATATTATTGGATACAGCTTCTGTTAAATCACCTTAATTATATTTTATTTAAGGCAAGTTGCTACATATCACGTTGTGCAGCAGATTTACTCACGACTGATGCCCTTTGGGTTTTAAGTTTTGGAGCCTGAGTGTGTTGGCTCCAAACGGCAACATCATCAGTTTTACTGGAAGCTTAGCATTATACCTGAATTGTGGGAAGCTATTCTCTATCGACAGAAACCTGCCTGAGAATTTGTCATGCGAATGACAGTCACAACTGAAATCTGATGTATGGATAACTTAAGTAGAATTGCAAAATAATTTATACAGGACTCCCACGCTGCTGTCAGAACAGAGTCTCTGGGCCACAGATTTATGAACCATGTCTGGAGTGGCTAATGAGTGTTCAATAAAAACTGTTTCTAGATCAAGGTAATACTTTTAAAAAATTAAGAATAATACAGTATTGTTACATGTCAGAAGCAGCTATTGAGAAATGTACGACCATTTGAAGCTAATCTAATGTGTCTTCTGTTTGGCACTGGGAAGAAGAAATTGAGGCTCCCCCGGGTTGATGCTAGTTGTTTCCTGTGGTGAAAATCTCCCCTTCTCCCCACGGTGACTTTGAACTCCTCAAGGCAGCTAGAGGACTGACACCTTAATCTCCTGTATTCTTGGACCAGAATGACCAAAACCTTTATATCTCAAGGGTAAAATGGTGGGATCCATCCTAGATCTATCTGTGTCTCCACAGGATCCACTGATGGCTGTCTGGCAACTAGATGTCTAGTCTAAACTCCTTGCCTACACAGCTGGTGGAGAATAGGCTCCCCTGTTCACAGAGAGGAGGCTGAAAGGGGTGAGGAGTCCTGCCCGATGGGAACCTCTCCATCTCCTGACCATTTCAGGGGCCTGGGTTGCTACCTTGATCCAAAAGATGTCTTTTCCTCCAAAGTGTCTCCAAAACACTTGGAAAGTGGAAGATGCCACCTCAAAGGTAATTTTTTCTATTGCCTTTTCTCCTTTCATCCTGATCAAAACATGCTGTACAGTTTTTAAGTAATCCAATCTCTTAATACCCTGAAAATAGCAAAAAAGTCCCTGTTTTATAGGCCCAGTCCAACAGCTGCCGAGGCAACTGAAGGTTGCGTTGCCTTCAGCGGGTGTTGGATGGGGTCCATAATAAACAACCTGGGAATTAGCTGAGTGAACGGATTACATTAGGGCAGCCAGATGGGTTTACGTCAGGCAAAACAACACGAGCAGGGGCTGTCAGCAGGATGGAAAAGCAACTGGACAAGTAAAGTGGCCAGGCTTACTTTAGAGCCTCACCAGTTTAATAGAAAACAAACCAGTAAAATCCCCAGAGCAGGTAGCAGCTACCTACACCCCCAGTTGGCTATTCCGCAGCCCCAGGGGCTGCTCACTTTTCAGACCATTAGAGTAGAAAGGGAAGGTCTCTGACTAATGTGCAAGCCAGCTGCGGTAGGAGTGAGCTGGCATTAGCCATATAATCTCTTGCTGCTTTTTAATACCTCAAGCATTTGAAAATGCAAAACTCGGCTTGCACACTTCCAGTCCAGAGTCTTTTGAAAAATAAAATAGTGAGGTAACATGCAGGCAGTGACCTTCAAGAGGTAGCTAATAAGAATGTGTTTCAGTCCAAAAAATTATGCCTTCATAGCTGCACATGGCTGCATGTGCAACATATTTTTACCACATAATAAAAAATACAGAATAGCAGAATGCGCTGCATTGCATTGGTAGGAGCAAAACATCACAATCAGAAAAATCTATGTTCTCCAGGCACAGAGGGAGAGCTAACCATATGTGACTTGCAGTAAGGGCTGAAATTCACAGCCGCTGTGATGCCAGGCACCACAGTCAAAACTGGTAGGATTATTTCTGAGTCCACTTGTGGTGAATTTGTATCATCATGTTCTTTGCCCTTCAGATTGTTCCTTATTAATAGGTGGTGTTCTAGAACCATAACAATGGGATTTATTGTGCCCATTCTATCAACAACAGATCAAAATGCTTTTGCAGTCCAAGTACAGAAAATCCTTGAAGACTCTTAAAGATCCTTATAATCACTTCATACACTGCTGCCTGCCTCTTCAGGATAGATTAGATTATGGGCAGAGTACAGCGAGCTAAGAGAATGTCAACTAACAATGACAGCAATAAACGCACAGAATTAAATAAAATTGGCTCTGATTTTAGGCATTTTTTCACACTTTATGACCTCTGTAGATCTTTCAAATTTCTAATAAATGATTAAATGCTAAAAATACAGCAAGTAAATAGTGAACGGCAATCGCAGTGGCGAAGTAAAATATTGACAATACTGAGAAATGGATGTTGCAGGTATGCAAAACAAAGACAAATTAAGTGTTTAATGATTATGTTTAATTGCATTTCTACATTTGCTTCCTTTGATACAATGGTGTTAGACATAATATATATGAGTGACTTCCTATATGGAACAACGTGACATACAAAAATATTAAGGTCTTAATTCTGGAGGCAATATTGTTTGGTAAAAGGTTGTGATGTGTTTGTGGCTTGAAGGGTTGATACCATTTCAGCCAACAACTACAGAAGATTGGAAAGGAAAGCATCACTGCTGTGTGGTTGCTATGGAAAGAATCTCTGTTCACTGATTATTGTAGGAAATGTCATAGGCGTTGCTCCATAAAGTAAATATTTAGAGCTTGCTCTAATCAGGTCTAGGTGCGAAGTTTTTAAGACGAGATTGAGGACAAAGCTTTTTGACAGACAACAGGCTGTCACAATTCAGCATCTAAGAGAATAAATAAGTGAAGTGGTGACTGGCACCACAGCAACTGACTTTCCCTGCAGTGCAGTATATTGTGTGCAGACAGGACATCAATGCTGTTATAGACTTCTCCTCAAACAGGGAGAGCTGACTGGACAGAAAGGCAATGAACACTTACTTTATCACATGTCTCTTGTCAGCAGTTTGCTGCTGCTCACATACAGTTGTTGCCTCCATCTGAAACCTCGTGGTAAGGCAAACATACTGCCTGCTGAAGCAACAGCCGCGCTTCTGGGCGCTGGGAAGCTGCAGCAGCCAAGAGCATGCAGCTGACCCTTTGCTGTGTGAATGCAATGCAAGCATCTAAACGTATTTCCTTAAAAGAAATCAAATTTATTTCTTCTGTTGGGGGTTTGCTATAATCAGCAAGTGCTAGCAACACATTTCTAACAATGCTCTTGCTCTTCAAACTTGACAATCATCATATAAAGACAACCCTCTTTTTCTCTTTTTTTTTTTTTTTTTTTTTTGGTTAGGTACAGTCCCCCTAGAAACTCCAGTTGCCTCTTTTCTCCTTTGCGATTTGAGCACCCTTTGGCAGGATACCCAGAGAAAGAGAACTTGAATTAAGATAAGCAGCATTTAGGGGTATGTTCATCTCTCTCACATGCTCTCCAGACAATCCAAAAGACTGTACCAGAAAGGACCAGTCTTGATTTAGACAGTCCTTTTGGTTGTTACTGCCCAGTAAAAATCCATAAGCCTTTTCCTTAGTTCCCCTATTTCCTTGTCGAGGCAGTGTTTAAACTGTCCCTTTGATAGAAACGTCTCTGACTTAACATCTTCGCAAGAACCCCTTTTTTTTTTTTTTTTTTTTTTTTTTTTTTTGGTTGAGCTCAGTCCACCAAAGACAGCGAGACATCTTAATTTTGATTTAGGCTTAAACCTGGAAAAAAGCCACTACTGAGAAAAACTAAAATGAGAAAGGGGCACTCGTCCAGGGGAAAGTGTTGTTCTAAAAATGGAGAATTTAGAATATTGGGTCCTTCATAGCTAACAGGGTACAAAGCACCTGAAAGGTGTAAAGAATCAGTCTGAAGGCAAGTCCTGCCTGTTATATTTCCAGTGGGGATAGCAAGACAAATCACACCATAGGCTTGGCTGCAGAGACCAACTGTGTAAAAACGGAGGCAGAAGACTTTCAGAAAGAAGCAACGAAAGCTCCATTTTGTGATTTCAGTGCTATTCCGCAATTTAAAATTAGAAACCACTAGATAACAAAACATGCGCTTTAGGGAACAGTCTTTCAGTTGCAGAGATGTAACACTGGAC